ACATATAAAATTAATGTCCCGATACTTATGTCCTTCACATTTATGACACTTTGTCGTCTTGATAAAGGCGCCTAGCCGATCCAGAGTGTTGTACTCATCAATTAATGGTTCTTTGTACACAGACGCTATATACATATTGCGGTTTCCAGTGCTAAGCTTAATAACACTAAGGTTAGAGTTAGAATGTTGAGTGAGCCCTTTAATTTTTCCACATTTTGGTTTTGCTAAAATGCATGCCTTTACTCTGGTATCGGATGAAAACTAATAGATATCTACTCCGTGTACTGGCTTAAGTTCAGTGTTAGCCCCCACATAGGGCTCCGACACCAGCGCCAAATCGAAGTCTCCGGCCATGAAAGAGTGTAGTAGTTCATGGTAACTATTCCTAGATTAGTCAATGATGCACTGTACTATACGTAGGCTTTTAATAGCCATAGTTGATTCGATTATTGATTCTCTCTCTCATGGCTCGCAGACGAGGACAGATATTAGAGTTGGCCGTGTGTTTAGTATCGTTATTGGTTTTAAATTTAATATTAAAGGAGGCGCAGTTAAAACATTGATAATTTTCTTTATTGGAACAGTTAACACTATGATGATTTTCTTTATTGGAACAGTTAACCACCTGATGCTCAGTACCTACCTCTACAATATAATCAGGTTATTAGAGTTAGACATAAAATTGCAAAGCTTTTGCCTTGTTTGTAGAATGTGAAGGTAAATAATGTTTTCTTGTTTTTTTTTTTTTAGTTTATTTACCATATCAAAAGAAGAGAATACAAGTATAGGTCTAATTAACATCTAAAAACCACGGAGGTTTGACTTGATGCTAAATAATTTAGTTTAAGTCAGCATATTATGTGCAAGACACAGTCTAAGTAAGTTGTTAGGTATGTGAGTAGTTAGTATGTATAGTATGAATATAAAGACTAAGAAGGTAAGTTAACAACTTGGTTAAAGTAGTAGCAAGGTAAAAGTAAGAACTAGGCAGGTAGGTATGTTATTGTTAAGTAAGTAGATATAGTAGGCAATTATAATTTAGATATGAAAAAGCTTTTGAGTTTAGTTTTAATGTTTTTTTGTGAAATTTTTTCGCGTAAATCGAAAGGTAAATTATTTATTAAATGCGGTACCTGATAAGCGGCCGTCCGCTGCCCGTAGACATTATTAGCAGTGATGTACCGGAGCCGGTTTTGTGTCATAGCGCGCGTACGTACAGGTTGATCTATGTATGACTTTATGTTATCGCAAAAGAAATATAATGCTTTAATAACATGAATTTAATTTGGTCATAAACTGGTAAGATTTTACAATGTTTAAAAATCTCATTTTCATCACCATCAATTAGGACACGCATATTTGGGGATACAATATTTTTAAGAATTCTAAGTTGAAGATCATAGATCTGTTTTAAATATGATTTGTACGTCCGACCATAACTTGACAAACCATATTGAATATAGGATTTAGCCAGAGAGTTGTAAAGCATCATTTTTACTTTGAATGGTATGCGATTTTTTAAGATTTTTTTATTGGCTAGAAACTGACGCAACTTTTTACACACATGTTCAATGTGGAAGCTCCAGTTAAACTTTGAGTCAATTATAAGACCGAGATATTTTTGTGTGGTCACAACTTCGATTGTAGGACATTGGCAGGTTCCTAGTTGATGTAGGCAGTCGTGATTATGAACAATTAATGGGTTTGGATTAGGATATCTCATGTATGGGGATTTGATAATCATGACTTTGGTTTTATCGGCATTTAATAATAGGCCAACGTCATGGCACCATCGAATCAACGTATCCAAATCGGCTTGAAGAGCATTACACGCATTTGAGATATCTTTACCCGATACGAGAAGACACGTATCGTCTGCGAATTGGTAACAGGAACTGTGTTTCAGACAGTTACCCATCTCGTTGACATAAAATAAGAAGTGCAACGGGCCAAGGACCGATCCTTGGGCCGTGCCCTCTGTCACAATCTTAGGGTCGCTGAACGAGTTATTTAATTTAACCGTAAATGTACGATTCTGGAGATAATTTCTACACCAATTGAGCAAAGGACCCCGGATACCACAATCATCTAGTTTATTGATTAAGATTTGATGTTGTAGCGTGTCGAAAGCACGAGAAAAATCAATAAACAAGGCTAGTACACATTTTTATGGTTCAAATGCTTGTTTACCTCATCTGTAAACTTACATAGAAGGTCCGTAGTGCTTTTGCGCGCTTGAAATCCGTACTGGTTTTTGTTTATGAATTCGTGCTTTCGGTAAAAATTATGAATCTGCTCACTGATAACTTTTTCTACTACTTTATCAATACTAGAAAGCAGAGTGATTGGTCGATAGTTGGAGTAAGCGTCGTGTTTGCCCTTTTTGAAAACAGGCCTCACACAGCCTATGTTGAGGTCGTCGGGGTATTCTCCAGACGCAATACTGCGGTTAATTAAATTGGCAATGGGTAAGGATATATGTTTATTAACCATTTTTAGATCAGCTATTTTAATACCGTCTGGTCCAGGAGCCTTATGTGAGTTCATTCTCTTAATGATTTTGTTTACATTGTCCTGAGAAACTTTTTGGAATAGAATCCACCGGTCTCCGATAAGTTAGGGAATTAGTTATTTTTAAGCTGCATCGAGGAACAATGTTTTTTACTGCCTTTTCAAAGCTATTTGCGAAGTTGTTATCTATCGCTTTGCTGGTAAGGCCCTGTCCATCAAAAGCCTTCAATATCGCCTCGTCAATGGATAATGTTACTCGTCCTAATATTTTGTTAATGATTTTATAAACTTTTATGTATTTTTAAAGTTATTATGTATTTCATTAAGATAGTATTTATTTCTTTATGATTCAATTAGTTTATGGAGTTTATTTCTAGTTTTATTATATTCTAGTCTAATTTTAGGATCAAAAGAGCTATTTTTCCAAAGCTTAAACAAGTAATCCCTTTTTTCACATAATCGGGTGACATTATCATTGATCCAAGGGGCTATAGGCAGATTCCTACGATTTTTAGAATATCTAACAGACCTACTAATAGTCGCAGACTTTATAGCTGCTAGGAAAGATTCTTTTATAAATGAAAGTATATCATTTGACGAACTCATGTTATTTGTCTGTTCCCAATCTGTAACGCTCAGCTCATTACTAAAAATGGTATGATCGAAAGAGGTTTTCTGTGTAATATCTTGTACTCGTCGTATGGGTGGCGAGTCAGCAAGGCACGAGAGCACTATGCCCCGATGCTCGGCCAGTGCAACGTCTAGTACAGCTGAGTACAGATCTGATGTGGCGAACCTCGCAAATATATGATCTATGCAAGATTTAGTGATTTTATTTTTTCTTGTTTCAATTCTAGTATAATTTGAAATTCCGCACATCAACCCGCGTTCGCTGGGTGTTTGTAAATAAGTGTCCCTGTAAGATGAAATAGTTTTTAGGTCAATGTTGGAGTCGCCGATTAGTAAAAGGTTTGTTTTAGTTTCGTAGTTTGAGATATACCTGCCAAGTTTCTTTACAAACAAATCCTTGTTTCTTTTTGGGGGCTTATAGATTGCACACACAACTACATCTACGTTCGGGGTCTGTTTTAAGATACCCGTTATGTTTTCGAACATGATACTTTTATGAGGTGTTAATGTAAACTTGAGATGGTTTTTAACATAGGCAATGATACCGCCTCCCCGTTGCGTAGACCGCAATTGGTAGTACATATTATAACCCGGTAAATTAAAAAGGTTAACAATCATATCTGTTATGCCAACTTCTGTTAGAATAATTAAGTATTTGGAACTATGAATAACTTGTTGAAGCTTCGTAAAATTCTTTATGAGTGATCTTATATTAAAATGTAGGCTACTAAGTAATACATGACGTTTTGGGGGTAATTGTTGAAAATAGTTATTTATGTCGTTACAATTAACAAATTCTTTAATTTAAATAGTCATAGTAAAGTTTTAGAAGTAGTTAATAAGTAGGTAGGTAGGTATATTCGATCAATGGAAAACAAAAGTTAAAAAATATGATTAAAAGGTATTAGAGCTATCTAATTGTTTTAGGAGTAATTCGATATCATTATTTGTACGAATATAATAAATTTTAGTATTAGGACCTTTCCTGACAAGTACTTTACCGTCCTTACACCAAATATATTGGACTGTTTTACTAAGTTTCGCTTTGGTGTTATTTAGTAGAGTTTTTAAATACTTAGTAAGGGCCTCCCTGATGTACACTCGCTGTTCAGCTATTTCCTTCGGCGAGTTTGGTAGGATAGTTCCCACGGAGAGACATTTCTCTTTACCAGCTTAATCCATTGTTTTTGGGCTGCCTTTATTTTCATTTCAATAAGGATTGGATTTTATTTCTTGCTCTACTATGCTCACTCTAAGTTCAAGGTTTTTGTTCTTATTTTGTAGATCTTGGTTTTTATTTTCGAGTTCTTTTATTTTGTTATCGTATTTTTTTAGGGTTTGATCAATAGTACTCAGCTGATCACCCAGGAAATCAATTGAAGTTTCTAGATTCCCGATTTCTTCCCGGAACGTTTTCTTTAAATCCTGACTGATGTCTCTGATAAGCTTCTGGGTGTCAATCTGAGTATTCAAAGAATTCACAACCACGGAGTCATCGTCATCAGCCTCTTCGTGTGGAGTGAAAAAGGAAGACCTACGCGAAACGTTTTTCATACATTCCTCGCAGCTCCACTCGATGTTCGGCGAATTGCGTAGAGTATTAATCTGTTTATTAGACAGCTTGGCGCAGGACGGATCCGAATGGACAGTATTGTTGCACCTGCTACATACCAGACCCGGCGCTTTTTTTGGTAATATTTTTCTTACAGTTAGCACACTTCACCAACACCATTGTTGGTGGTTGAAAACAAAGATACACAAACTGATCGCAACGGTGCACTGACGTGAACTCCAATAGTTTACAAAAAAAGAAAAAACTATAATAGTGTCCAATATTTAAGAGTTGTAAACAATAAGAATCATTCAAATATTAAAATTTTACGGAGAAAATTTTGCAAACACATTTGGTAAACCTCTTCATATTTCGCAGCTATATATGTAGCAGCTGTTCCAACCAGTTGTAGTTTAGTGCGTACCACACTCATGTAGGACAAGAAGCGATCAACGTAAGACACAGCTAGGTGTAGTGTCTCACTCTGTTGTCCGTACTCGTCACATACCTCGACGAGCCAGTCAATCAGTATTGAGCGCATCATAAGCGTGATATCTGGCTGCTTCCTCATATAGCGTGGGTTAGCTCTGTTTTTAACTTCAATCTCTCTCATATATTCATAAATGTCCTGACGGTATTCTAGAACATGAAAGAACATTTCACGGTCAGTTTGTGCAGTGGTTACATCTTCCTCTTCAAGGTTCTCCTCAAGAAATTGGCTCTCATTTTTTGATATTGACATGGATAATATGCTGTTATCCACAACTGACATAGGTGATTCAATAACCTCTTTTTCTTGTACCACATCTTTCTTCTCTTGTAGTGGAAGCCTGGCTGAAGTACTTTCTTTAGACTGATCTGGCTGTTTCTCAACCTGAGCACAAAGAGCCTTAACATTCTCAGCAGCATTTACAAAGAAGTTATCTTTTCTGATTTCCTTAGTAATAAATGGTTTGAAAGCCGGCTCGCGTTTTTTGACCTCCACTTCAGAGGGCTTGTCTTCATACACACTAAACGCGCGAAATTGAGCTACAATGTTCTTCTCATTTTTTATCTGACGTACCGTCCTATTTTCATCTTGAACTTTGCACGGTCCGTTCGTAAATCTGGTAAGTTTGTTGTTCCGGTTTTGATTGCAAGCGAACTGACTGAGATCGCCTAAAGCACGCCGTTGAGAATTTGCTGTAAAAAGTTCAGCATCTTTTCTAATTCCTAATACAGCATTTTCTTGATCTTCGTGAATTCTGAATGATGCCATTGCCCCCGCTAAATCAGTAAACACTAGAGTAAGACCAGATCAGCTAAAAACGCGGGCCGCAAATTAAGAAAATGCTGGTATACCGGAAATACGTTTATAACTGTTTAATCACGAGTACATTTTCTTAAAAATTATTACATTTTGTTAAAAAAATGTTCATATTAGATTGTCAAATCTTTTTCAAATAAAACCAATATACCTTTACTTTCCATTTTGCTTAAATATCATGTGAAATGACGAAGTAATTAGATAAAAACTGATAATCACGTGTCAACACACGTGTTTTAGTGAAGTTACGAGAATGCTTATTTCTTATACTTCGCTAAAACACGCCTACCTCTTAAAAAAGACTATTTTGCTTTACATAACTATATAACTACTAAATCAATATTTAGTTAAGAGATGTTGAGAACTGTTTTCATGCATAAAGTTAAAAATTTGTTAAATACTTACTACCGTACTTACGTCCACCAATGTACCAACGGTTTTTCAATGTACCAATGTAGACAGTATGTAATGTAAATAAAAATTATGTATTTCAAAAACCACTTTTTTTCATATTGACTTGAAAAACAGTTCCTTTTTATATTAAAATGATTGCTAATATTTTCAAGTGTTTTATGAACGTAAAGTACCATAATTTATAAATAACAACTTTGTGGTCTTGTTTTCGTTTCTATTTAGCAATATATATAACGGGAATGGGCGAAACTATGAAATTTTAATAATGTATTAAATAGTTTAAATAATATCAATTATAATGTTTTATCTTAATTTCATTAATATTAATTTAGCCAGAAAATTTCTTAAGAATTTATGATTATTTATTGTTGTTGTATTTCTTTTAATTAACCAATCAAAAGCCAGAGGTTCACGGCTTGATTAATACGGTGATCACAACAACCAATCAGAGCGAGGTTCGCTGGTGAAACGCCTCGAGCGGAGTCGTGGTGCGACTGGATAAAAAAAGACAAAAGAGGAGCGGATCGATTCGGCGTGGGGTACAGTTTTATTTTGCTGTTTGGTGTGTGATGGTGTATGTCTGTGTCGCATTACGAACTCGCTGCTCTTTAATTAATTTTAATATTCTGTAATAAAATTTAGTTAGTGTTATTTTCTGTAAAGATTAAATTAAATTTAAATTAGTAAAAATATAAACAAGTTTATTATTTGTGTTTTGTGTTGTGTTTGTATTTACCCAAAATCCTGCTCACAAGACCTGTTGATAATAATGGCGTCAATGAATGCGAATTTTCTTCGACATGAGAAGTGGGATCATTGCAAGCACGTAATTTATTTAGTGAAACTTTAGAGATGATAGTGACCAATGGCGTACTTTATTCGAAGCGCACAGTAATAGTATCCAACTTCTCGTGGAGGCCTTACATAAACCATAAGATAATATCAAGGACTTTACGCTGCCATTATTTCAGCTTCATAACGAAGATGCTGATGCTCAAGCTTGGTTAGCAACTGCAGATATCTGTATGACCGAGTACCAAGTACAGGGAAGTCGATTGATGATAATAATTATTATTAAACCTATGAAAGGATCTGCTGCTAAATTGTTCCCGCAGGCTGCTTATCCTAATATGTTTTGGGCAGAATTTAAAGAAATTTTTTCGCCTCGGTTTGATACGGCAGATACATGGGCAGCTACAATTTTTAAACTTTTCAATGGTAAACCGCATGGTGGCGAATCACTTGCTTCATAGTCGGCCAGATAATTTTCTTTACTTATGTTTCGATGGACTAATTGAAGCAAAGAAAAAACAGCTGTATCTACAATTCTTGCTCATATTGGTCAAATTGAACTACGCTTACAACGCAATATTATTACAGAAGAAATAAATAATCGCTATAAAATGCAACGCGAATTGGTGGCATTTTCTTATCGAAAACGGACGGTTCAAGAAACAAATACGAACAGAGATATTTATATACCGGATATCAAACGCTCAAAATTTTCAACTTCTGCAATAAAATGTTATGTTTGCGGAAATCTTGGTCACACATCATATGAATGTTTCAGTCGATCAAATAAGAAGACTAAACCTACTTAAATTTCCGATAATCTTAATAAAAGTGAAACAATGATCAAGCATGTAATCAAGTGCTACACGTGTGGGGTCGAGGGTCACATGGCGTCGCGATGCTTAAAACATGATCGTCTGCAGGTAGTAGTATACTGCACCAGGCAACTACGTCAACGAATGTGGAGAGCAGAGTTAATCTGTGCGGCTTGAAACCTGTCATCTAAGTTATTACACAGTTTGTTGAAAAATTTCATTTTGTTTTAATTCTGGAACTGATTGTTCCCTTATTAGAGAAACTACAGCCAACAAATTATCTGGCAAACTACAGCATGCTATCATCACCATTGTTGGTGTAGGCAAGTGTGAAGAAATATGTAAATCACAATTTTTTTTTAAATTGTATCTCTTTGCGGCTACAGCGTAGAAATATTATTTCACATTATACCCAATAAATATTTGATTTATGATATATTAATAGGACGTTATTTATTAGGGCTAGGCTTTATAGTAGAACTTTCATCCGATAATCTAACAGTTATTGAGAAGTCTAGCGTTGTTAATAATTGTGAAGTAGGTAGGGCTGTGACTACATTTGATAATATCGACACTGATATTGATCATCGTTCTATTTATAATTATAAAATTCTTCATAGTTTTGTCAAGTCGTTTGTTGAGATAACGCCAACTAGTAGAGTAAAAACGGGAGAATTAGAAATAAGATTAGTAGATCCTAATAAAATTGTGTAGCGGAGATCTTATCATTTAATTGTGAAATGAAATTGTTTGTAATTAGTGTAACGAACTTTTAGTAGCGAGTGTGATTCGTCCAAGCAAATATCCTTTCTCTAGTCATACTTTGTTAGTTAGGAAGCATGATGGATCAGACCGCATATGTGTAGACTATAGAGAACTTAATTCCAATACATTTGGAAATATTACCGGTGGTGAATTCGGTTAAACATTTTCGACATTATTTGTACGGTAGGTCATTTACATTAGTAACTGATTGTAACAAATTGAAGTCATCAAGAACTAAAGTTGATCTAATACCCAGAGTACATCGTTGGTAAGCGTTTTTGCAAGCCTTTGATTATAGGTAGAATATAGAGACGGAAAAAAATGGCCCATGTCGATTTTCTTTCTAGAAACCATCTTCCAATACGGAACAAATTAATTGTAAATAATGAAGTTATAAAAAAAGATGTAGAGCAAAAATATATTAATACTGCTGGATTGTCAATAAATTGGTTGCAAACTGAGCAACGGCTAGATCCTGAATGTAAATATATTATTTACAAAATTTAAAACGATGCCATAGGTTTAGGAAGTAGCCGGATTTATGAAATACGATCAAATGTTCTGTACAGTAAAATTCAAAGAAATAATCGAAATACGTCGCTTCCTATTATACCGAGAGCTTTTCGTTGGTCAGTTATAAATCATATTCATGAATCCATCATACACTTAGGATGAAAAAAAACTTTAGAAAAAACCTACCAACATTACTGGTTTCCTAACATGGCAAAATATGTTAGGAAATTTGTTGAAAACTGTATTACCTGTAAAGTGGCTAAAGGAAAATCTGGTAAACATCAAATTGAATTACATCCAATCCCAAAAGTTAATATACCGTGGCATACAATTCATATAGACGCTAGTGGCAAGCTTAATGCCAAAAGCGACTCAAAAGAGTACGTTTGTACTCATTGATGCATTTACTAAATTTGTGTTGCCATTAAAGCTTCTATAGTACTTTCTGGTACTCCTGTAAGAACAATAGCAGACCAAGGTAGATGTTTTGCAAATACTGAATTTAGGCTATTTTGCAACAATCATAATATTCATTTACATGTTATAGCAACTGGTTCTAGTCGAACTACCGGTCAAGTGGAGCTTATGAGTACTCTGAAAACTATGCTAACATTCATAGAAAGTAGTCATGCTAGATCTTGGCAGGATGCTATAGACGACGATCTTTAAATAATACAACACATAGAGTGGCGTGATGACACATGACACAGTGATGACTTACGGAACTGAGACGTGGTCCTTCACTGCTGGCCGTATGAGGAAGCTCAAGGTCGCTCAGCGAGCTATGGAGAGGGCTATGCTCGGAGTTTCTCTGCGTGATAAACTTAGGAATGATGATATCCGCAGTAGAACCAGAATAACCGACATAGCCCAACGAATTAGTAAGCTGAAGTGGCAGTGGGCCGGCCATATAGCTCGAAGAACCGACAACCGATGGGGAAGAAAGGTTCTCGAGTGGCAGCCTCGTACCGGTAGGCGAAGTGTAGGGCGTCCCCCCACGAGATGGAGTGACGACCTGGTAAGACATGCAGGAAGTCGATGGATGCAGGTGGCTCAGGACCGTGCTTTGTGGCATTCTTTGGGGGAGGCCTATGTTCAGCAGTGGACTTGTGAAGGGCTGTAATGATGATGATGATGATGATAGAGTGGCGAAGGAAAGTCGACTAGAATTGTTGATTGGGAAAGTTGCGTGACCTTTAAGTTTAATGGCAGTCGCTGATCATGAAATTGAAATTGACTTGGAAGAGTTGCGAGGGAGGGCTAAAAAGTTAATGAATAAAAACGCTAGCATTGACAAAAAAACGGTTTAATGCCAATAAAACAAAAGTTACATCATTTGCTATAGATTATGATTGTCTTAATTGAAAATCTTGAACGGAATCAAACCAAATTAGATCCTAAATATAAAGTTCTTTATGTATAATAATAATAATATAATTCTTTATTCACTTCACAAGGTATTTTAACATAAATAAGTGGCTAGAGCCTCCCTTTAAGCACAGAGCGCCTGTAGTAGGAGGCTCCGCTTTTTTATTTAGCATTGCACATTCTTTTCCACAACTTCACAAACAAAATCTTGTGAAATACTTTTAGATAACTAAAAAACACGTTTGTGTGTGTGTGTGTGTGTGTGTGTGTGTGTGTTTGTGAATA